AGCGTGCTGATATTTGCAAGCCAATCTCACTCCTACAACGATAATTTCTCTCGGTGGACAATTGTATTTTCATTTCCGGTAATGAAATACTGCTAAATATCTGGATGAAATATATTTCGGATATAAATATGGGCAATATATATATATTTTCAAAGGAAAATTTGATAGAACTATGAACAAAATATCCATGACAAAAACAGTCGGCCTGTCAAGTTATTTATCGGCGACGGACTGACGTCAATTTTAAACACTGGTCCCTTTGGATATTTGTACATTTCAGACCATAACTTTCTGGATTATGACCCCTGATTATACAAAAAATTGTTTTTGTTTTTAGTTTTTTCTCTATCCATCTCTTAAAAATGTGGGCGTATCCTGCCTGGCAGCCGCTGGTTTGACAAATAATTAAACGTTGAAATGAATGTTCAAAACTTTTTTTTATCGTACCAACTTTAGTAATAATGATTGAGGCCAGGCCTAAAATTCAATTGCTAATATCTCGGTTCAGAGTGGAGCAATTTGACTGAAATTTTCAGCATATTCTATTTACTTTATCTATTTTTTAACTATTATTATAGCGAGAACTGTCTACTCTTTATCTAATGTCCTATCACTATAAGATTGGTATCGTTTAATATGGTTGTTTTAGCGCTAATAACTATGCATACAGTTTAATTTCAAAACATCGTTTGATAATTGATAATAACGCTTGAAAATTACAAAAATTGTTTAATTAGTACTATGGCTTTATTTAATTGAACAGTGTTTAATTTCTCCAAGAGGTGTTTAGAAATGGAGGATCCGTTTATTTATCTAATGGGTTTAATTACTAGCCGAGCACTTTAATTTCCCGAGATGCGTAAATAAATTAACACCTGATGAATTTATCTACAGGGTTTAAATATTAGACGAAGCGTTTAATTTCTCGCAAATCGTTTATCCGATCGTTTATTTTGATTACGGTTATTTAAGTATGAAGTACGAATAAAAAAAGTGAATTATAAAAAAATGCACACCCATAGATGCTCACCATACCGTGGTCGTAGTATTATTATCCATTATCCATAAAAAAAAATATGATTCCACCATTGACAAATACATCACAAATCGGTAAGTCACGTCCAATGTTATTATACCATTGGAAACCGGTAAAGCACATCCCAGGTATTGTATTTTCTTTAAATCACAAATGAATGAACATAGCCTTTCACCTGTACGCATCGCTAGAAGACCTGGCAATGCACACGTGACACTGATAATCTCGTGAGACTTTTTCACTGGCGCCAAATAGTCGATCTCAATACACAAGGTGTCGCTCATTTTCAGACAAAGCAATAGGACTGGCTTCAAACAGTATCAAAAGGAAACAGGATTCAATGATAACTGCCTTGATGTTACGTAATCACTTTATTTGGTGCAATAAAATGTTGACTGCAGAAGAACGATATCAAACGGTATTGCTAAATCAACATTTACTCTCTCAATATATGTACTCGTATTGTATTAAAAAATATAATGTGTGTTGATGGGGCCATACCGATCCCGAAAAAGAAAAGGGTTTATAAATAAAACAGAACACATACTTAGCTATGATAATTTAATAACAAAAAACAATTGTATTATATGCATGAACACTAAACACTAAAAAACTATATGCATGTCATTTGGGACCCACGTCATTTGGGACTCGCATCATTTGGGACTCGCATCATTTGGGACTCAAAAAAATATGACCACGACATTTGGGATTCGGGTATACGACGTTTGGGACTTTGGTATACGTTGTTTGGGACTATGGTATACGATGTTTGGGACTTGGGATAATTTATTAGAAATAGGCCAATTCAAAACACGAAAGAAAATATTTATTACCATAAAACACGTGGTTAGTAAAAGGCTCAACCAAACGATAAAACATTAGTTGCACTTACGGTTCTTTGATAATCATCGTTTCTCATAAAAGTTATATATTTATTTAAAACGAATAATATGCTGATGAATTTATTTGAAAATGACCTACACAAAAAACAAAATAAATATTTACACGACATGCAATCTTTTTTACAAGCCCCTAGAAATTGTTAGCGATAATCGGTGAGCTGCACGTTGACATGCTTGTCGTAGATGGCAATACCAATCGATAAATTAGTCCGTACACGGCAAAGTTTTTTTTGTGGAAAATATAAGAAATGGCATCGATCAAAGTGGGATAATTAAAGCTGATTAACTGATAATCCCGATGTTATTGCAGTATGTTCAAAGAAACCTAACGGTTCTTTGGTGGATGAGGAAAAACGTGAGTTGTCAATCATCGAGAATGGCGGCAGTGTGTTGATTGCAGTTATACCGTTTCACGAAAAAACATTAGCAGTGGTCAGTCAATCAAGCTCGTTTACTATTTGATAAAAGAAAAACAACGAAGTATTACTAAATATACACAAATTTTCAACAATATATTATTGTCAAGTTTTAAACTCGCAGATAAAACAAAACAAAGGAGAACTAGCAGTGTTAATCGCGGTCTCAACAATCGCCGATCAACTAAATAAAACGAAAGACAACTAAGACAGCTGTTACTATATATCTCCTAAATAAATAGTCCCAACTGTCGTTTATATTGAGTCCCAAATGTCGTTTGTGATGAGTCCCAATTGACGCCAGTCGAGTCCCAAACGTCGTCAACTGAGTTCCAAATGTCGTTTATGTTGAGTCCCAAATGACGTGATACCTAAAAGATAACATGAATAGTAAAAATACACAACACTGGAAAAGACTGATTCATAGATATAAAATTTCGTAACCTGGCTGTTTCGTACTTAGTTCATTTGTACCTCACATGAGCCGTTTCGTACTTCACTTCGTACTTCAAATTGATTCGTATTTTTTCCCATGTTGAAAGGTGAAACGATTTGATCAAATCCAACGGCTAGGCTAAATTTATAAAAGTGACTGCCGAGCCTTAATTAGAATATGCACGAGATTAGTTTGTTTTCCTAAATGTGTTTAAAGAAATTGAAATAAAGGTGAAATATAATTAAACGATTTGATTAAATCCAACGGCTGTGCTACATTTATAAAAATGGCTGCCGAATAAGCATTACCTACGATGATTTAATAACAAAAAGGGAATTGTATGGATTGAAATTTTTTTTAGAATTTTCCATATTGATATTACACAGCCTGCCCAATATTAGTAATTCACACACAAAGGATATATTTAAACTAAAATTGCTTCAGCATTTCACTAAATTTACATTGGTTACGATCGAAAGCCATTTTCATGCAAATGGGTATCAAAAACAGAATTACCCCGTGATATAACCGTAATACGGTCCATGATATAACAGATCAAAGAAACACGTACGCCCATCTTCACATGTAGGTACCTTTTGGAGACTTGCTGTGTTCTATTTTTAGGCTCAAATAACCCAACCATATCAGAAAACATGCAGTTCCATCTTACAGTGAGTTAAACTGATTTAAGGTTTATTATGTAATGAATAATACATTATGTGTCGCATTTCGGAATTTTTAGTATATTCAATTTTTAACCGCTTTAACAACCACCAATCAATTATCACAATCACAACTAATTCAGCAGAATGGGTTCAATAATCAACACCGGATTATATACTTTCTCAATCGTTTTTTAAACTGCTTTAACAATCACTAATCAATTGTCGTCAATAATCACAACTCACTGAGCAGAATGGGTTCGATAATCAACACCAGGTTATTGTTTATTATTTCAATTTCTTTCAACAACATATAGATTAATTTAATTTCTTTCAATTTATTTCAACAACATAGGAAAAGGTACGAATCAATTTGAGGTACAACTCATGTGTGTATTTATAAATTTAGCGCAGCTGTTGGATTTAAGAAAAAGAACTAATCAATTTGAAGTGAAAAAGTCTCACAAGATTATCACTGTGTCACGTGTGCATTGCCAAGGCTTCTAGCGACGTGTACAGGTGAAAGGATATGTACATTCATTTGTGATTTAAAGAAAATACAATACCTGGGATGTGCTTTACCGGTTTCCAATGGTATAATAACATTGGACGTGACTTACCGATTTGTGATGTATTTGTCAATGGTGGAATCATATTTTTTTTAATGGATAATAATACTATGACCACGGTTTGGTGAGCATCTATGGGTGTGCATTTTTTTTATATTCACCTTTTTTATTCGTACTTAGTACGTAAATAACCGTAATTAAAATAAACGATCGGATAAACGACTTGCGAGAAATTAAACGCTTCGTCTAATATTTAAACCCTGTAGATAAATTCATCGGGTGTTAATTCATTTAGTATCTCGGGAAATTAAAGTGCTCGGCTAGTCATTAAACCCATTAGATAAATAAACGGATCCTCCATTTCTAAACACCTCTCGGAGAAATTAAAGGCTGTACCATTAAATTAAGCCATAGTACTAATTAAACAATTTTTGTAATTTTCAAGCTTTATTATCAATTATCAAACGATGTTTTGAAATTAAACTGTATGCATAGTTATTAGCGCTAAAACAACCATATTAAACGATACCAATCTTATAGTGTATAATGCCCCTGAAGAAAAGATAAGGGTTATATCATCTATATTCACTGTGAGTTATTTGTGAATACAGAATACACTTATAATACGCAGCAGGCTGGAGAATATTGATGATGTAATCAACATATGAAAGAATGTGTATTTAGATCATTGTTCATTGCAAGTTTTCTACAACTATGCAATAGCCTTGACTAACAAGGACACTATGGGTGTATTTTACATGGCAAATGCTTTTATAATGCTTTTAGGAAGAACTAGAAGCTAATCAAATTTTAATTACTTCATGGGTTGTTACTCTTGATCAGTTTTTAGTGACTTGTTAATGCCTCCATTCCCTATTGAGAGTAAATATATGTTGTCTTTGTTTTCCTGATCACTTTATATCTGGATTTATTGTAGCATATGTAACATCTTTAATAATTTTTTATATTCTTATAGGTGCTCAATGAAGATATAACCCCTACTCTAACTAAATTAAAGGATGAACGGTCATCATATCTTGAATATCAAAAAATAATACGTGAATTAGAACACTTAAATAAGCTTTACATTGCTTATGGATTTGTTTGTGCTGAGGTAAGACCAATAGTATTGATACATGGTCGTATATTGTTTTCACCACGACTGTCTGTCCAGTGTCCACAATTGCTTGTGGTTGTTCTAGAGGCTAAAGTAATTATGCGATTGACTTTAAATTTATTCGTAGTGTTTAAGGTCATGAGACGAAGAATCCTATTGATTTTCAACCATATTCGATAATAACTGCCAGAGTTATGGCCCTTGATTACTTTGAAAAATCTTGTGTATGCTCTAGAGGCTAAGGTTAATATCCGATTGACTTTAAATTATGACTAGGTCAAACCAATTTAACATTTTCACTATCAGCGGAAATGGCGTCATTTGGACAAAAACTGTATTTTTAGCCTTCCAAACAAATATTTTATTCAACTGGGTCGTATTTGTTATTTTTTTTTATAATCAAGATATTTGATTCCAATCAACAAATAAAATGAACCCATGCGGTCATATAGATATTATTATTATTCGATTTTCATAAATTTTTACCATGTGATGCCTAATGTCATTTATGATTTCATAAAACTAATTTACCATATTCATTATCACCGGAAGTAATGTATTTTTAGCCTCCAAAACAAATATTTGTTTGAAGTAAGTGATGTTCATTGTTCTTATAAAATTATGATATTGGATTTCAATGTACAAATAGTATAAATCAATGCGATCATATAGGTATCAAAAACGGGTTTCCAACATCTTCCCTTGCTGAGAAATAACCAATTTTGTCAGGATCACTTTTTATACGTCGACATTCATAATGTGGACATATATGCCATCACCCTGTCTGTTTGTCGCCTACAGGCCGCATTTCTTAACGTATCATCTTGAAACTTTGCATACTTATTCTTTGTACCCTAAGGAACATCCCTATCGTTTTGGGTGCATGCCCAACCTCCAGCGGCAGAGCCACGCCCTTTTTCTTTTTGTGTGTGTGTGACCTACAGGCCACAATTCTTAATCGATCGTCTTAAAAAATTTTCATATAAATTCCTTATACCCTAACGATGATCCCTATTGTTTTAGGTGCATGCCCGACCCCCAGTGGCAGAGCCACACCCATTTCTTGTAACTATTTGTTTGTCATCTAAAGACAGCAGTTCTTAATGTATCACCTTGAAACTTTGCATACTTATTCTTTCTATCCTAAGGAACATCTCTATTTCTGTGTGTCTGTGTGTCACTTACAGCCTGCAATGCTTAAAGATACATTATGGGAGATTAGATAAAGATCTGGCAGTTCTCACTATTATAATACTTAAAAACTAGATACTGTAAAGGGATTTTGCTGAAAATTTCAGTCAAATGGTTCCACTACATGTATGAACCGAGATTTTAGCCATTGAATTTTCAAACTAGCCTCGATCATCATTACTAAAGTCGGTAGGATAAAAAACATAGTCTCGATTATCCATTTTTATACGCCCACATTGAAATGTGGTCGTATATTGTCCTTTCCCGTCCGTGACAGAGGTACACCTTTTGAAAATTTTCCATATTTAATTCACGTACCAACTTGAAGTTCATGTCAGTAATATTCCAGAATAAATTACCGTCTTCGTTTATTCGGTGAAACGTTCGCGTTTCATAAGTTGATGATCTAAAATATTAGTATTTTTCTACTATTGCCAGTATCAAAAAATGCCGTACATGTAGCCAAAATAGGCTAATACGGCACCATGGCATTTCTTCATAACACAATTTATAGTTTTCTGTCTATCACGCAACAAGTCACGTAACTTGCAAAAGTTTTTATTCATTCGCCAATGATAAACACGGTACAATTGTCACGTGACAACCATACTTGAGATTGCTTAAAAAAAAAAATCCACGCGATTATGATATAGCCTTCAATAAAAACGACAATATTTTTAAATTTAAGCCTTTGTCAGAATATGTATAAAATAAAAAAAATCATAACGGTAAGCACTATTTAGAACTGGTTTATTGACCTAATTCGCCACCGATATGTCACGTGTCATTGAAATTCAGCATTGGAGATGCCATCAGGAAAATATATTATTAAATGATTGTTTCTCGGTGTATTCGGTGTTCTATCAGGGAATTATATTCAATGAAGATTTAAATTTACCTAACAATCAGGGCTGTCGGTAATTTTTCACAGTTGATTAGCAGCACTGCTAATCAAAAAGTCCAATTTTGCCAAATTTGATTAGCAAATTTAAAAATTGATTAGCAGTTTTTCAGTTTCAACGTAAAACACCTAAATAACAAGATATTACTTTAATTCATAAAAAATATGATTAGATTCCATTCTGACTATTCTTTAAATTCTTAGATTTTTTAGCACTGCCACAAGTACTTGTGACAGTTTGTGAATGTGATGTAGACATTTAGTTAGGTCTTATGTCTGAAGCCAATTCTTGACAGTGACTTCCGAAGCTCCACTCATTTTAATTGTTATTTTTTGTCACGCGATATAAACAATAATATTTTACGGGAATTTTTACTTTGATTTATCATTTTACAATACGTTAACATGTATTTATTTTTTTATATTTTATTTACAATGCGTGGGGGATACACTGGATTTATTTCTTTCAAAATGAATATGATATAATTACTTGATGTCTCGCAATGTGAGTGGTACTACTTGATTCCCTATTTCCGGTTTAATAGTCCCTATTCATAGAGTTATGTCCCTGTGTTATATAGTATTGTGTCTGGGTAGTTCGAGAAGAAAATGTCACGCGGAGAATTCAGTTTTGTATATAAAATTTTATTCAACATTTTATACACGTTGAAAGTGTTGAGTAAGCCTTCTAGTCTTCAAAATATGGATTATTCTTGTGTAAATATCCAAAATGACAGGCATATTAATGATTCGCAGTAACTGCGAATCAAAAACGCTAGATTTTAATTTTTGGTTAGCAACGGACAAAATATGTATCGCAAATTGCGCTGCGATACTGGTTGTCGGCAGCCCCGCTAACAATTGGTCAATGAATCCATCGCGAAATTACGCTCTCGCTCATGTTGTCTTACTGCACAGCACGCGATGTTTCCTAGTAAATACGGTATACATTGAAGCCAATGAAGGGTTCATCAAAATGAAAATTGATAAACATTAATAACAAAAAATATGACAACAAACAAAGATTTTATTTCGTGTATGGGTCAGAAATAAAATAATATTAAATTCACAAGTTACATATTTATTTTTTTATCGGGAGGTTCATGCTTCAGTCGGCGGGTCCGTAAAACGAAAAATCAAAAAAGTGTCGCCTAAGTAAGAAATTATGAGTATATGAACTTTTGATGTGATTTTGTTCAAGAATTAACAATTTGGATAGCAAACAAAAGTATTCGGATCACAAATCTCAAATCGATTTTCAACACTGATATACAGGTTGCAATTATTAACCAATTTGGATCCAATTCGGAATGATCAGCATAGGGTTGTACCTATAATATATTGGTCCATGTCCAACCCCCAGGGGCAGAGCCACACCCAAGTTTTGTGTTTTTTGTCTACAGGCTGGAATTCTCAATGGATCATCTTGGAACTTGGCATTTTTATTCCCTATACTGTAAGGATAGCAGCTTTTAATTTTGGTGCATGCACCAACTTTTTTGTTAGTTTTTATCGGTAAATACTCTACAGGTTGCCGAAATTAACAGATTTTGTTCAAATTCAGCCTATCAATCATTTCAATAACAAGGTGGTACCTATTTTCATGTGGACATATATTGTCGTCGCTCCTGTCCGTCTACAATTTGTTTGTGGACACTCTACAGATCAATATTTTTATTCGATTTTGACGAAACTTGAAATATAGGTCTATCTCCCAAAGATCTTGAATCTTTTCGATAACTTCATGGATTATGGCCCCTGATTGTATGAAAAATCGCGTTTTGAGCTTGTGGTCCCTATCAATGTCACAATTTTTATCCGATTAAAAAAAAAAACATGTTTGAATATATATCACAGTTATACACTAATGAATAATGATTGTTGAGTTCAAATTTTGTAAACTAGTTAATTTCCCTTGATTGGCTGACTTAATCCTTCAATCCAATCCTGAACAGAAGTCATTGCCTCTCCTTTGTCGGACTATGTATCAATCCAAAGAGTGATTATAATTATAAACTTAAACTACATGACTAAACTGTGATTTCTCTATTGTCGGAGAGGTTAATCCCCTTGATATTGGCCGACAACACTGTTATGTCTAGGCTTCCCATATAAGTTCAACCCTAATATACTATTCTGTTATCAATATCATACTATGTATAGACGATTATTGTTCAGTGCTCAAAAACATGATTAATAAAGAATTGAAAACATTTAAAACAACAAAAATGTCATAGTGTTTGATTATTTAAAGGTTTAGTTTCTTTGGTGCTGCTCTGATTCGGGTCGGATATCGTCTTGGCACGGAACAACTAGCATTTGATTCATCATTGTATTTCGATTCCTTTGACTGATTTGGCACATTTGATAAATCATTATTTGAACTATTTGGCACATTTAGTTCAACATTCCTATCAGTGGTAGGAATTTGCACATCAGGAATACTGATATTTATATTACGATTAGCTGTTTCGGGTACTACAACTATAGATATATCATTTGGAACCTTTTCACACATGAAACACTATCAACACTAATCACAACTTTTGGATCACACAAATTGTCCAAAATTTGCTCTATGTGTCTCCGAATTATATTTCCTTCGATGGTATGTATTTTATATGAAACTGGTCCGGTTGATTCCACAACGGTCCCTGCTATCCACTTTCGTATGAACGAGCTAAAACAGGATGTCCATCCTCAAATGACCTGTGGGTTGTCGAAGTTCGAGACGAAACTTGTTTATTCTGAGAGGATTCAACCCTTTGCTGTGTGCTGGGTTTGAGTAAATCAAGTCTACATCTCAACATTCGACCTGTCATTAGTATTGACGGCGCGGCGCCTGTTGTAGCATGTACTGTATTTCTATACAAGAGTAAAAAGCTTGACAGTCTATGTTGCCATG